ATAACAAACTAGCACGACACCGATGTATTTATTTTTTGGGCCAGTAGTGTATATACCATATATATTTACATTTTAAAATTTTAATTTTATTTCGCTAGACTGGCTATTTTGCCTATTGTGACTATTAGCAAGCTATATGATTTACTGTCGTGTCGGTTTGCTTAATGTCTACATTCAGAAAAATAATGAGTCTAGAAGGGACTGAGCAGAGTCACGGTCATGATCGTATTTGCCTCGCTTACAAACACAAGTGTCAGAAAGAACGACACAGTAATATTCAGAGAAAAATTTTAATTTGTCTGTATTCAATATCGCTTTCAATATCCTTATAACAAATCAACACGAAGATAATATCATCTTTTTCGTCACGAATAACGTATAATAAAATATCTTTTAATTTATGTAAATTTTGGCCAATGTAAGAGTAAAAAAAAACGAGGGGGAACGTTGTGAGTTGCTGCGGACACCGCAACTCTAAGGTTATACCCGATACTAAGTCAGTATGGCTCTCCTCCGGCAGACGCCGCTAATATTTAACGACACGACAAAGAGTGCGTGCGAGAGAGACAGAAAATCAGTCTGAGCGTGACGTCGGGCGCTGCGTAGCCACTGCAAATTGATTTGTTCCTTTTGGCTAAAAAAATGGTCTGATCTGATCCAGATTCAGCAATCTAATAGATATGGTCATTATCTATGATTCTGCGTTTTAGTTTTCTCAAATCTGCAATATTGTGGATGCAACAGATTTTCGTCCTTTGTGGGGGCGGATGGGGGTGGGGCGAAATTCTGAGATATACGTTTTATAGTGACATCTTAAAGGAGTGTGTGCACCAAATTTGGTTACTCTAGCCTTAATAGTCTCTGAGATTTGTGGTTGCCTCAGATTTTCGTCCTTTGCGGGGGCGGAAGGGGGTGTGGCGAAATTTGGACAGGAAACGGTCAAGGTCCGATATCACAGGAGTGTGGATACCAAATTTGGTTGCTCTGGCTTTTATAGGTTCTGAGATCCTTGAACTCATATTTTGCAATTGGCAAAACCGACCATGAAACCTGTGTGTTAGAGTGAGACAGAGCGAGAAAGAGTGAAATTGTTTTCGTGATTCTGGCTGTAATAATTATACGATCTGGTTCAGATTTTGCACTCTAGAAGATATAGTCATCTTCTACGATTCTGCGTTTTTAGTTTTCTCGTATCGTCGAAATTGTGGATGCCACAGATTTTCGCTCTTTGTGGGGGCGGAAGTGGGCGGGGCAAAGTTTTGGAGCAGTGACATATCACAGAAGTCTGGATCCAAAACATCGTTGCTCTAGCTTTTATAGTCTTTGAGCATTAGGCGCTGAAGGGGACGGACAGACGGACAGACGGACAGACGGACGGACGGACAGACAGACAGGGCTCAATCGACTCGGCTATTGATGCTGATCAAGAATATATATACTTTATAGGGTCGGAAACGATTCCTTCTGGACGTTACACACATCCACTTTTACCACAAATCTAATATACCCCAATACTCATTTTGAGTATCGGGTATAAAAACCAGAACATATGTTCACACATGTTTGTATATAAACCCAAAATGTTCCATTTGTGTAGCCATTTATTTTGTATAAACAATTATTTGTCTATTTTACCATTCCCACGTCCAAAAGACTCCTTTTGTATTGTTCTTCAGTGACGCCCCCCATGTCCACAAAACGTGTATGCATTCCAGCAGCAATAAATCGCTTGGTAGCTGGCATATCTAAGCGAGGAGCTTCGAGTGAGGTATTTAATTCCTTGCTTCTAGCCAGGATTTCCTTTGCGCGACCCAAATCATGTATTATACCATGCTGAAACCATAAATTCAATATCTTAAGTTATTAAATATACGTACTAAATATTATAACTTTACCTTAGACACATCTGAGCCCTGTAACTTTAAATACATCCAATATAATGTGGTGGTTAAGTATACCAAATAACTGTCCAATTCGATTTGTTCGTCTAAGTTCATATGTGGCGATCTGTGCGCTGAGAGAGCTTTTTTCAGGTCAGTCTCTAAAGCATCCAGGCTTAAATCAAAGCTTTCAACAGCTCCTTGAATTTTATTGTCTTTTTGTAGCTTTTCCTCCAGATGAAAGCCACGTCCCGCTTTTTTTATATTGTAATCTTTTGTTTTCGACATTTAAATCCTATGTAGTAAACTTCTATCTACAATATTAAAAGTAAACATTTTATAATTAGTCTATGACTAAAGTAGTTTTCAAAAATGCAGTAATACAACAAGCGGGAACATTGTGAGACGCGACAAGGGCCGCGGCTCTCCTTTTATTCTTAGTTATTTCATTGTTTCTCATTTGGGATCTGAGAAAGATAGCTTTATATATGGTTACACAAAAAACTATTGCATTTTGGCACTCTCCGCTTCCAATTTGTAAGCAATACAGTATGAATTTGATTCCCGCACAATGGTCCGCCGAGAAAAAACAGTGGAGAGAGTTTGCGAGAGTCCCGCAAAATGCTCGCAAACTAGCTTGTGTACGAGCGTATGGCTATGCGTCGCAAAACTCTCGCAAACGAGCTCGCAAGCGAGTCAAAAAAAAAAGCTGCAAGCCTTCATGTGCCTTCAGTCCGGCAATGCTCCTTCGGCTCTCTGTTCACGTCTCGACAGATTAGTGGTCGAGAAGTCATTCGTGTTTTTCTTTTTCTACATGTGTCCAGCATTAGAAACAAGTTTAAATAAAGCCTGCGTTCCTTGCGCTGGCATTTCAATTATTTTCGTCGAATTGTGCAGTACTAAGTTAAAAATCTCTACAATCTCTTACGAATTTAATAGAAACTTCTACCAATAGGTAAGTACGTTATTAATAAAAGAAATAAAATGTCTTACAAAAGAAAAAGCCGAACATATATCGGAGAGGCTCGACATGTGCAAAGAGCTACTGGAGATTTTGAGGTTAAATTGAATATTTCGGAACCCGAACTCCGACAAAATGCATTACTTTGCGATAGTAATAAATTTCCATTTACTGAACATTCCAGTTGAACTGACTTAATCGGTTAACTATGGCAGGCAATGCCTTGGTTAATATTTAAAAACTCTTTAACAGATTTCCTTACGAAATTTAATTATTTATCTTCGAATATAAGTTTAAATATTAATGTAGACGGTCTTCCGCTATGTAAAAGTTCTAGAATGCAAGCATGTCTCATTTTGATTAACGTCAATGGCACAAAGCCAGTTTTGGTAGCTGGAATATTTGCAGGTAATTTCTTTATTTGCAAGAATTTGTCTACGAGTAAGGAGAATTGATAAAGGAAGGGATGATGTTTCAAAATATGTGTTTCCGAATATCTATGAGAGCAATCATATGCGATGCGCCAGCCCGCGCTTTTATATTGGCTGTGAAATATCGTTCGGGTTTTATTCCTGCAACTAATGCATTCAGAAAGGGGAAACTTTCTGTAACCGTCAAAGTTTCAAGAAATCAATTAACCTACCACGAACCAATGATAGCTTCCGAAATCGTATTCAACCTGAAAACCACAACATCCAAGGCAAACATGTTCTTGATAATATGCCAATGAATATGGTAAATCAGTTTCCCTTAGACTACATGCACGTAGTTTGTCTTTACGTCATAAAAACGGTCCTAGGGACTTTAGTAAGAGCAAAACGTCATACATTTTCTTTGAAACGGGACTCCATAGCTTCCCTTAATAATAAACTTATGTCTCTTAAAAAGTTTTTATCTAGGGAATTCAATAGAGAAGTTAGATCTCTAGATAATCTCGACCGATTTAAAGCCACTGAGTTTCGAACGTTTTTATTATATACTGGACCAATAGCATTAAAAGGCATTTTAGATACCGGCTTGTATAATCATTTTTTACTGCTAAGCTTAGCGATAAGACTTCTTCTACGCAAAGAATATTGTGTCACGCAAAATTCTCCTGCATCCAGCTTGCTGGATAATTTTGTAAGTCAAGTTCCGTCTTTCTATATGAACGCAATGCTCACTTTTAATTTTGATTGCTTAACACATTTAAGCAAACAAACCATTCAATATGGTTCTCTACAGACCATAAGCTCATATACGTTCGAAAACTTTCTGGGCCATCTTAAAAATATGGTGGGGCCCCCTTTGTGGGGGCGAATGGGGGTGGGGCGAAATTCTGAGATATACGTTTTATAGTGACATCTTAAAGGAGTGTGTGCACCAAATTTGGTTACTCTAGCCTTAATAGTCTCTGAGATTTGTGGTTGCCTCAGATTTTCGTCCTTTGCGGGGGCGGAAGGGGGTGTGGCGAAATTTGGACAGGAAACGGTCAAGGTCCGATATCACAGGAGTGTGGATACCAAATTTGGTTGCTCTGGCTTTTATAGGTTCTGAGATCCTTGAACTCATATTTTGCAATTGGCAAAACCGACCATGAAACCTGTGTGTTAGAGTGAGACAGAGCGAGAAAGAGTGAAATTGTTTTCGTGATTCTGGCTGTAATAATTATACGATCTGGTTCAGATTTTGCACTCTAGAAGATATAGTCATCTTCTACGATTCTGCGTTTTTAGTTTTCTCGTATCGTCGAAATTGTGGATGCCACAGATTTTCGCTCTTTGTGGGGGCGGAAAAGGGCGGGGCAAAGTTTTGAAATATTTTTGTAGCAGTGACATATCACAGAAGTCTGGATCCAAAACATCGTTGCTCTAGCTCTTATAGTCTTTGAGCACTAGGCGCTGAAGGGGACGGACAGACGGACAGACGGACGGACGGACAGACAGACAGGGCTCAATCGACTCGGCTATTGATGCTGATCAAGAATATATATACTTTATAGGGTCGGAAACGATTCCTTCTGGACGTTACACACATCCACTTTTACCACAAATCTAATATACCCCAATACTCATTTTGAGTATCGGGTATAAAAAAAAAAACCAGAACATATGTTCACACATGTTTGTATATAAACCCAAAATGTTCCATTTGTGTAGCCATTTATTTTGTATAAACAATTATTTGTTTATTTTACCATTCCCAACGTCCAAAAGACTCCTTTTGTATTGTTCTTCAGTGACCATAACGCCCCCCATGTCCACAAAACGTGTATGCATTCCAGCAGCAATAAATCGCTTGGTAGCTGGCATATCTAAGCGAGGAGCTTCGAGTGAGGTATTTAATTCCTTGCTTCTAGCCAGGATTTCCTTTGCGCGACCCAAATCATGTATTATACCATGCTGAAACCATAAATTCAATATCTTAAGTTATTAAATATACGTACTAAATATTATAACTTACCTTAGACACATCTGAGCCCTGTAACTTTAAATACATCCAATATAATGTGGTGGTTAAGTATACCAAATAACTGTCCAATTCGATTTGTTCGTCTAAGTTCATATGTGGCGATCTGTGCGCTGAGAGAGCTTTTTTCAGGTCAGTCCTCTAAAGCATCCAGGCTTAAATCAAAGCTTTCAACAGCTCCTTGAATTTTATTGTCTTTTTATAGCTTTTCCTCCAGATGAAAGCCACGTCCCGCTTTTTTTATATTGTAATCTTTTGTTTTCGACATTTAAATCCTATGTAGTAAACTTCTATCTACAATATTAAAAGTAAACATTTTATAATTAGTCTATGACTAAAGTAGTTTTCAAAAATGCAGTAATACAACAAGCGGGAACATTGTGAGATGCGACAAGGGCCGCGGCTCTCCTTTTATTCTTAGTTATTTCATTGTTTCTCATTGGGATCTGAGAAAGATAGCTTTATATATGGTTACACAAAAAACTATTGCATTTTGGCACTCTCCGCTTCCAATTTGTAAGCAATACAGTATGAATTTGATTCCCGCATAATGGTCCGCCGAGAAAAACAGTGGAGCGCAGTATATTTTTAAGCACATCAGATCCGTTTTCCTGTGATGACACAACATTGATTTTTTATACCAGATACTTTAAGAGTATATGGATATATAAGATTAGTGGTGGATGCGTGTAACACCAAAAACGAAGCGTTTCCGGCCTCATAAAGAATAAATATTTTTGATCATCATCAATAGCCAGGAAAAGAATCCAAAAACAAAGATTTGAACATTATATTTGAACGATGATATGCACTGACTGCATCTTTGAAGTGGCTATGCAGTTACTGCACATTAAGTGGCCCGTGTGGACACCAGTACAAGCTGTTACGCGCGGATCCCAGGCAAGTGCAGTTCTCCTCTCCTCCCGCCCAAACGACCGAGGGGCGCTGCCCCTGTTAGACTATATGAGAGCAAAATTAGTACTTAACTTACTAAGAGAACTACTCAGCAAACAAAACAAACGTGCCTTTGCGAGAGTCCCGCAAAATGCTCGCAAACTAGCTTGTGTACGAGCGTATGGCTATGCGTCGCAAAACTCTCGCAAACGAGCTCGCAAGCGAGTCAAAAATAAAAGCAGCAAGCCTTCATGTGCCTTCAGTCCGGCAATGCTCCTTAGATTAGTGGTCGAGAAGTCATTCGTATTTTTCTTTTTCTACATGTTTCCAGCATTAGAAACAAGTTCAATAAAGCCTGCGTCCTTGCGCTGGCCATTTCAATTATTTTCGTCGAATTGTGCAGTACTAAGTTAAAAAATCTCTACAATCTCTTACGAATGTAATAGAAACTTCTACCAATAGGTAAGTACGTTATTAATAAAAGAAATAAAATGTCTTACAAAAGAAAAAGCCGAACATATATCGGAGAGGCTCGACATGTGCAAAGAGCTACTGGCGATTTTGAGGTTAAATTGAATATTTCGGAACCCGAACTCCAACAAAATGCATTACTTTGCGATAGTAATAAATTTCCATTTACTGAACATTCCAGTTGAACTGACTTAATCGGTTAACTAGGTGGCTGTCTGCAAATAATGTCAGCACTATGGCAGGCAATGCCTTGGTTAATATTAAAAACTCTTTAACAGATTTCCTTACGAATTTAATTATTTATCTTCGAATATAAGTTTAAATATTAATGTAGACGGTCTTCCGCTATGTAAAGTTCTAGAATGCAAGCATGTCTCATTTTGATTAACGTCAATGGCACAAAGCAGTTTTGGTAGCTGGAATATTTGCAGGTAATTTCTTTATTGCAAGAATTTGTCTACGAGTAAGGAGAATTGATAAGGAAGGGATGATGTTTCAAAATATGTGTTTCCGATATCTATGAGAGCAATCATATGCGATGCGCCAGCCCGCGCTTTATATTGGCTGTGAAATATCGTTCGGGTTTTTATTCCTGCAACTAATGCATTCAGAAAGTGGAAACTTTCTGTAACCGTCAAAGTTTCAAGAAATCAATTAACCTACCACGAACCAATGATAGCTTCCGAAATCGTAGTTTCAACCTGAAAACCACAACATCCAAGGCAAACATGTTCTTGATAATATGCCAATGAATATGGTAAATCAGTTTCCCTTAGACTACATGCACGTAGTTTGTCTTTACGTCATAAAAACGGTCCTAGGGACTTAGTAAGAGCAAAAGGTCATAAATTTTCTTTGAAACGGGACTCCATAGCTTCCCTTAATAATAAACTTATGACTCTTAAAAAGTTTTATCTAGGGAATTCAATAGAGAAGTTAGATCTCTAGATAATCTCGACCGATTTAAAGCCACTGAGTTTCGAACGTTTTTATTATATACTGGACCAATAGCATTAAAAGGCATTTTAGATACCGGCTTGTATAATCATGTTTTACTGCTAAGCTTAGCGATAAGACTTCTTCTACGCAAAGAATATTGTGTCACGCAAAATTCTCCTGCATCCAGCTTGCTGGATAATTTTGTAAGTCAAGTTCCGTCTTTCTATATGAACGCAATGCTCACTTTTAATTTTGATTGCTTAACACATTTAAGCAAACAAACCATTCAATATGGTTCTCTACAGACCATAAGCTCATATACGTTCGAAAACTTTCTGGGCCATCTTAAAAATATGGTGATAAATTCGAACTACTCATTGGAGAAATTTAACTGTACATTGTTGAACTCTAAACATTAAACATGAAATAAAAAATAAAATTTGTCATAGCCAATTAGTAGTTGGTCTAGAAGCATACTTTACTTCTCCCATAAACTCTACCTATGTGGGCATTTTCTATTCAAAGTACTATATTTCGACTCGACCACATCGCAAACATGATATAGAAAAATATCAGAAAAAAAATTTCATTTTGAAGATTGTGGGAAATCACATTTACTTTCCTTTAATTGAATAATTTTAGATTTTTAAAAGTGGCTTACCAATACGATTTTAATTTTGAGGAAATGGTAGCGGAAAATACTCAAATAACAGGTAACATTTTGAGTGACTTTCCTTCGGCTTTACCTTGCGCTTTCGTTTTAATATATTTTCAGACATATCTAATACGGCTCCAAATAATCGGTCCAATAATTATGGTAATGCATTGGAAACATTTTCATGCTCAATAGACTTATTTGAAATAAGGGGGCGGAACTTATTTCGTTGCGTAGTGAAGTCGCATCAATAAAAGCTCGAGAGTGCGGAGAGCCTAACATGGTAAAATTGACAGTGCCACGTTCACCACTGGCCAGTCTAGAAGCTAGGCTTTTAAGAATTTGAAGATTATCTCAAAGAAGAGCACGCTTTCAAGAACTTGGTAAGGAATTGTTTACATTTTTGAGTAAATATAAGCGATGATGTGGCGAAGTTTTTCTCCTGGCGTGGGACAGACTCCGAAAAGCATTTAAACAGAAGTTTGCGCTCGACGATCACGATTTTGACCACACAACACAAAAATATTTTCAGTATGCTCAAGAGCGGAAGGCCAGATTAAATAATACATACATATATCTTCAATATTCAATATTAATATATTAAATTCATGTCATATTAAAAATTACAAATATTTTTTATTACGGAACAAAATAGGAACGGGCCTTTTACGATATCATTTATGAGCCTTTTGCGATATCGTTTGCGAGCCTTTTGCGATATCGTTTGCGAGCCTTTTGCGAGTCGTTTTTGATATAAAATAATATCAAAACGAGGGGGAACGTTGTGAGTTGCTGCGACACGACAAAGAGTGCGTGCGAGAGAGACAGAAAATCAGTCTGACCGTGACGTCGGGCGCTGCGTATCCACTGCAAATTGATTTGTTCCTTTTGGCTATAAAAATGATCTGATCTGATCTGATCCAGATTCAGCAATCTGATAGATATGGTCATTATCTATGAATCTGCGTTTTTAGTTTTCTCGTATCCTCAATATTGTGGATACAATAGATTTTCGTCCTCTGTGGGGGCGGAAGGGGGTGGGGCGAAATTGTGAGATATACCTTTTATAGTGAGATCTAACAGAAGTGCGGATACCAAATTTTGTTACTCTAGCTTTAATAGTCTCTGAGATTTGTGGATGACCAAGATTTTCGTTAGCTAAACCGACCATGAAACCTGTGTGTTAGAGAGAGAGACAGAGCGAGAAAGAATGAAATTGTTTTCTTGATTCTGGCTATAATAAAATTTTTATAAAAATGGTTCCCCACTTTAATTTTTGATTTAAATATTTGGCAAGACTGAAACCTTTCCAAATATAAACAATTGGCATTCATACTTTTAGAAAAATTCGAGCTATTCCATAACAAACTAGCACGACACCGATGTATTTATTTTTGGGCCAGTAGTGTATATACCATATATATTTACATTTTAAAATTTTAATTTTATTTCGCTAGACTGGCTATTTTGCCTATTGTGACTATTAGCAAGCTATATGATTTACTGTCGTGTCGGTTTGCTTAATGTCTACATTCAGAAAAATAATGAGTCTAGAAGGGACTGAGCAGAGTCACGGTCATGATCGTATTTGCCTCGCTTACAAACACAAGTGTCAGAAAGAACGACACAGTAATATTCAGAGAAAAATTTTAATTTGTCTGTATTCAATATCGCTTTCAATATCCTTATAACAAATCAACACGAAGATAATATCATCTTTTTCGTCACGAATAACGTATAATAAAATCTTTTAATTTATGTAAATTTTGGCCAATGTAAGAGTAAAAAAAAACGAGGGGGAACGTTGTGAGTTGCTGCGGACACCGCAACTCTAAGGTTATACCCGATACTAAGTCAGTATGGCTCTCCTCCGGCAGACGCCGCTAATATTTAACGACACGACAAAGAGTGCGTGCGAGAGAGACAGAAAATCAGTCTGAGCGTGACGTCGGGCGCTGCGTAGCCACTGCAAATTGATTTGTTCCTTTTGGCTAAAAAATGGTCTGATCTGATCCAGATTCAGCAATCTAATAGATATGGTCATTATCTATGATTCTGCGTTTTTAGTTTTCTCAAATCTGCAATATTGTGGATGCAACAGATTTTCGTCCTTTGTGGGGGCGGATGGGGGTGGGGCGAAATTCTGAGATATACGTTTTATAGT